GGCGGCGGAGCCGGCCGGCTGCGTGGGGGGGTGGGGGGAGAGCGCCGCCACATGCCGGGGCGAGGGGCGGTGCCTGGCTCTGGCCCTGGCCCTGGCCCCTCAAGCGGGCGGGGCGGAGCAGGGTCACACTTGTTGCCCTCGCGACCCCCCGCCCGCGCGCTCTGAGCACGCGCTGGGCTGCAGGGGGGTTGGAGAGAGCAGGTCGCGGAAACTGCCGTTCCGGGACCCCGCCCCCGGGCTGGTCCCCAGCCAATCGGGAGAGAGGGGCGTGGCCAGGCGGGGCGTCCAGCTGTTGTGCCTGAGGCTGGTCGAGGTAGCCGGCACTGCTCGTGCTCCCGCGGGCATTATTGCGGCGTGGGTGAGGGGGCCGCGGCTTGTCCTGGCGCAGGGCGGCTTCCCACAGGGTACCAGCCTGCCCCGCGCCGCCCCCCCGAGATTTTTTGGCACATCTTTTTTTTGATTTGCCTCTTTAATACATTGGATCAGAAATGATCTCAGCTCTGGTCATATGTTCCTGACAGGGGGCAGCAGTACAGGGGGCTTCGTGTTCAGCCTCTTACAGCTGAGAAAAAATGCTGGAGATTTGGTATACAACAGGCACATCTGCAAGTGGCTTGGCAGGACAGCATATGCCCTCATGCCACAGCCCCAAGGCCTCGCACCCAGTCTTGTTTGCCTGAGCAAGGTGCCAGCCACAGATCTCCGCTTCCCACGTTTTGGAAGCAGCCAAGCATGACTCTCCTGGCTGCAGATGTGACCTGAGTGCACCCTCAGGAAGGTGCATTTGAATAACCCCAGTGTTTATTCATGACAAATACTCTTGCGAGCTTTAGGGGATGGAGGAACTGCATTGGTGCCACCACTAGGCGTTGGCAATACTGAGGGCATGCCCAGCACCAGCATAGGCAGTACACTCCCGAGGGCATACCCAGCACCCTTACCTCCCTGACACTGTCACATCATGACAGCATTCCCTTGCAAACAGATCTGCCGCCTCAGTGGCACGTCAGAAGAGTATGTCCTAGGGCAGAGCCCAGATTCTCCTGCTTCACCCTCAAATCCCTGCTGCCACGTCGCAGCATGAAAGTCACCCCTAGGAGCTTGCCCAGAAGACAGAAACTTCTGACATTTGAGCGGCTTAATCTTAGCAGGTGGGAAAAGAGGTTAGCAGAATGCACTACCAGGGAGAAGGGGAAGAGGAAGACCAAAGATGAGATGGAGAAAGATAGTGGAGAGGGAAGGAATTGTAAGAAAAAGATACTATGATTGAAGCTGGTGGAGAGCTATGATCTGCAACAGCAACCTTGTTTAGACGGGACAAGTGAGGGAAGAAGAAGAAACTTAGCTTGTGCTTAGTTTCAGAGGCTGGTAACTTAATTCAGTTGGATTTTCATAGGGATTGGAAGACAGTATGTCCCTGGCAAAGAGCTCTCCCCTCTCCCCCCACAAATTCAAGGTCTTGCCCTGGTGCATGGGATAGACAAAGATCCTTAAAGAAAACATCACCCATATTCTTCTGCATTGCATTATTGGATATTTTTTGCTAGTTCCATTCTCAGAAACAGCTGAGGCATTTAACCCGAGATATAAATAAATAAATAAATAACTGAGGTAAACATTTGGCATACAAACAGTTGCAGGCCACCTTAATAATAACTTGTGCTTTTAGACTTGCATATAAATAATAGACACATATAAATAGCTTTTCATTTATGTAGTCAGGATGAAATGTTATGCTACTGAAAGTTTTTCAATATTTTGTAGTACGGTTGGAGTGTTGTAGCTGTGATAGACTGAGAAATGGCTGAGAGGTAAGGATGTTTTGTGATGTTTTTGTTTAACCAACTATGGTTGGAAGAGCTGTTGGACAAACTTTTGGATATCAAGTGCCATTCCTCAGGTCCAAAAACCTTGCCCAATAGCTTGTTCAAAAGCTCTCTCAACTCAACACACTTGGTCCAATAAAAAGATATTTCAAAAGTGATTTGCATCTTCCAATATTTTGTAATCTATATGGACCATTCCTCAAAAATAAATATAAGAATTGTAATTAGCTCCATTTAATGCAAATTAGGTACCATAGTCAGGCTCCCTGTATTGACTATGCACCACTGAACTCATTTTGTCATTGACTTCAATGGGATTGGGAGCATGGCTGCCCTAAGATGTCACCTTGTCATTCTAAACTGGGCACCCCTAAATGGGACAGCAATTGAGAATCCTAGATTTTGGAGATGTGTGTCAAAAGTCAGTGGAAATTCTATGTGATACACAGGGCTGGACAGAGGCATGGGCGAACTGGGTGGCCGCCTGGGACCCAGACAGAAAGGGGGCCCAAAAATGAAACAAAATGCAACAAAAAAATCATTATCTCTGGTAAAGGGGAGCCTAATAGTAAAAGTTCGCCCAGAGCTGCCAGGAGTCTAGGTATGTCCCAGATGATACACTAGTGTGTTGTAGGAGAGAGAAGGTTTTTTGCAGGATATCTTTAGTGTACTGTAATTTTTTTCTTGCTTTCTGTGAAGATGAGGCTTCAAGTGCTGACCAAATGGTTGTATTAAAAGAGAGAGAGATAAATCTTTCAGACAAGGAACGGTGACTTCAGTAAAGTCCAAAAAAAATCTGCCAGTAGCGAAGGCTGCTGCTAGCTCAGTGGTTCCACCATATAGTCTGATGTCACTGCATCTCAGTTTCACTAACATGGCAAGGACAACTGCAGCATGTAAAGTGAGCTCTTGCTTTTTTTCAGGAAGTATTTTGGTGATTCTCAATCAGAGTGCCATGGCACTCTGGCATGTGATGAGAGATTTTTAAAGGTGCTGTAGGATGTGTACAACGTTAGCACTGTTAGGTGTGCAAACGCCTACATATGATTCACAATAGAAACCCACAGATTTCACATAGGAATGAATTATGTAAAAAATAGCATCTTAATCTGTTGTGGTCTTTCTAAATACTTTGCAATAGACAAATCACTCTTATTTTTTTCATTATGACGAAACGATTGAAAGGTAAGAGGTAGCATTTTCCAAGGGGTACCTTCACTCTAATAAGGGGTGCTTTAGACTAAAAAGGTTGGGAACCACTGCCCTGTTTGTTTACACAGAAAGGGAATGGGAACAGAGTGGGGTTTTTTGTTTGTTTGCCTGTTGAAGTCAGCACTCCTCATCCAAACTTATGCAGAAGCCCTCAGAGTTTTACCAAAGCCATTACCACAAAGTCACCTGGCACAGTCATTTTTAGAATGCACTCAGAGTTGCCAAGAACTGTACTCGCTCCAGTGATCAACAAAAATAGTGACCATACACCTATATACCTCCATTGTGTGGCATTCTAGATTAACAGGTGATCCTTAAATCGAGATGCTAAGACTCAACTAGTGTAAGCATGACTGATTAGGTACACACTGCATGAATATCCACCGAGCCATTACAACTCCTCTAATTCTATCCTAATGGGTACTGGGCATCAGTGTAAAACTTGCAATGGATTTTTAGGAGTTAATGTCTTTGATTGCTTCAAAATCCTGGTCAGGAAAACAGAAAAAAAAGGTCCCTAGGGTATCACACAGTGCTGATTTACAGAAACATACATATGATTTTCAGGCACAGTTTTCCCAATTTGTTCTTTTTCCGGGATTAACAATAGTACCAAATGGGTGCAGAAAGGTTAGGCTCAGCGGCTATGTACCTCTGGCCAAGTGAGTGTTTTTAGGGAGGAAGTTTGAGACTGTGTTGAAGTCAAGCATGAGGTTGTTCTGGTCTGCAGATTTCATTTTATAGTTTTTAGTTTAAAATAAAAACAAAATTGGAAAGGAAAGCCAAAAAAACCTTAAACTGTTTTCACATAACACTGGACTCTTCTTGATGACAAGATCGCTCCAGATATTAGTTTGAGTAGTTTAACTACATGTATCTTGGGAGGAAGGAGTTGCTGTGCTCTTCAGTATCCAGGACCTGTAGTCCTTCACTTTCTTCCTCAGTTTCGTACAACCTAGACACGTGACTAGAGTTCCTGAACAAAGTCTGGGGTTGGGCTTAGTAAACACATCATAAACACATCCTCTCTCAACAGGAAACTCCTGTACCAGCACTCCTTCTCCTCAGGCTTGATTATAAGAAAACATCTAAGACGTAATTATAAGTCATCTGTAACTATGACCTATGACATATTTCTTAAGCCTCCCAGCACTCTCACTACGGCCACAAAACCTTCATCTGATGAAGTAAGTTTCAGCCCAGGAAAGGTTGTGCTGTATGTATCTTTGGTTAGTTTCTAATGGCACATCCCCACGAATGGAATGTGCATTTCCCTGGGAACAAATAGCAGCGGCACATATTTGTGCCACTGCTACTTGTCTCCAGGCACTCCTCTGCACATGCATTCTGGCATGCGGCAAATTGCCCCGGGGTGGGGTAGGGGAGGCTGA